GCTAAACACCCAGATGACTGCATGGACTTGTCCCACCTCACAGGAGCACATTTCCAGGCAAGGAGGCAGGGGCTGACACAATGAGCACCTCCTGTGTACATGCCAGGCTCCAATCCACATGGGTCAGCCTAGGAAAGCTGGTCAGTTGTGGGCCTCACTTAAAAGAGACTGTCTGCAAGCTGGAGAGCACCCAGATGCTGCAGGATCTGGAAACCAGTGCATTAAAAAAGGCAGGCTGTGTAGCCCAGAGAAGCATAGACTCCCAGGGGATCCGGCTATACTCTTCAAAGAGAAGAGGCCAACATCAGAGTGGGGATGGAGGAGACCAAAGGTTGATTCAAGTAGGTACAGATGGAGCAGCCATAGGCTCATGGACTCTTTGAGCCTAATGGACCTCCAAGACCAACCCCCACTGAATGTGCAATAAAGAGAAGTTTTCTGTGTATATGCAGGTGTTTTTCTAGTTTTTGTATATCTATGTGTAGTTATACATGTCTTAATCTACACAGACAACTCCAGCTTAAGGCAGGTCACTCCAAGCAGCAGGTGCTCATAGAGAATCCCACTAGAGGGAAAAAGCTTAACCCAGCACTAGCAGAACTAGCTTCAAGCACAATGGACCGACCTAGGAAGCCACCTGCTCTCACTGTTCACTGAGATAGCGTGCTGGATAGCTGACTGTGTGCCCGTGTCCCCAGAACCAGAACAGGAGGCTTGTTGGGGTTGCACTGCAGCCCCAGGGGGCAGAGCCAGGAGCCTGGGACAGGGTGGGCTCTGGGGTGAGTGTTTCTATTGGTTGTCGCCACTGAGCCAGGGGATGGGCTGTTTCTAGGAGGTAGTGAGCTCTCTGTCGTGGCAAGAAAAGGAGAGGCTAGGATGATTGCCCATGGCGGATGTTATCAGGAGAGTCCTATCCAGGGTGGGCTGTTGAGAAACACCTCTGCAGTCTCTGCCTATCGGGAAACTCTACAGTGCTCTTGTTCCCAGAGCTCTGAGAAGGGATGATGTGGAAGTGGTGGGTGTGGGGAGCCTGTTCACGAAAATGTCAATTAGCCAGAATGGCCTGTGCCCAAACTTCCCGGACCTGGAGGCCCATGGGAAAGAGGTTGTGTCCTCAAGCGGGAGGTACTCAAACAGGATATGCTTATTCATTTCTTCTGAAGTATTTCCTCTTTGTAGCATGTCTGACCGTGTGCAAGAAGTTGCTCCTAAGATGGAGTTATTAGCCACATGGATGGGGCCCCTGAAAGGCCCATTATCACAAGCCCGCCCTGCAGCTGGCATGTCCACAGGACTCTAACATGGCCAGTCTTCAGGCAGTGGCTCCTGGAGCTTTGAGCAGTGTTTCATTTAAACAGTAGAAGAGGGGCCAGCCCAGTGGTACAGCGGTTAAGTGCGCATGTTCCGCTTTGGCAGCCAGGGGTTTGCTGGTTCAGATCCCGGATGTGGACATGGCACCACTTGGCAAGCCATGCTGTGGTAGGCGTCCCACATATAAGGTAGAGGAAGATGGGCACGGATGTGAGCTCAGGGCCAATCTTCCTCAGTGAAAAAGAGGAGGATTGGCAGCAGTTAGCTCAGGGTTAATCTTCCTCAAAAAAATAATTTTTTAAATAAATAAACAAACAGTGGAAGAAGCCATAGTTCTGGGCCCAGGTCCGCCTGGCTGGACTGCAGAGATGAAGGCCAGGTACTGTCCACCATGAATTAGCAGACAACGCCTTAGGTGGAACAATGAGATGGATGTTACGGCGGCTTGGCTCACAACCTTACTCGGATACCAGCTCAAGTCTCAACAGCTTGTCACCTTGTTTGGGTTTCATCAGGCCTCTTTTCAGGAGCTGACGTCTGCTCATAAATTGATCTGTTCATTGTCTGGTCCACACTCCTTGCTCCTTAAGAACGCAGGCTTATGAAGACACGGCCTTTTCTGTCTTCTTCAACGTAAGATCCCTAAAACCCAGGACAGTATCTGCTACATAGCAGGTGCTCAATAAACATCTGTAGCTGCATGGCGGACATGGCGGTATGACAGTGAAGGTGATGGTGAGGGATGAGCTGGGGATGGGCCCTTTAGACTTGGCTGCAATGCCATCTGACTTGTTCTTCAATTCTCCACACTCTCCTGCCACCCCTCAGGGAGAAGGAGGCCAAAGGGGCTCAGACGCTGGCAGAGAACCATGTCCAATCCTGATGAGGGGAATTCAAGGCAGATGGGCTCCATGGTCAACAGCCCCTCCCTCTCCTCACTGCAATCCACAAGGGCAGCCAAAATTCTGGTCCGCATCAAATATATATGGAATAAAAGAATGAATGGATAGGTGCTATGGCTGCAAAAACCTTATGCCGAGTCTACCCACATTAGCACTTCATACTTAGGCCCCAAATTGGACTTTGAGATTCTAGAATCAAAGCGAGTCAGTTATTGGCCAATTCTCAGAGAGTTTCACCAAGAAACAGTTTAGCCACAAAGAAATTTAGCTTCTGGGGCTGGCGCTGTGGCCCAGGGGTTAAGATCGTGCGCTCCTCTTCGGCAGCCCGGGGTTTCGCCAGTTCAGATCCAGGGCACAGACATGGCACCGCTCATCAAGCCATGCTGAGGTGGCATCCCACATGCCACAACTAGAAGGACCCACAACTAAAAATGCACAACTATGTCCTGGGGGGGCTTTGGGGAGAAAAAGGAAAAATAAAATCTTTAAAAAAAGAAAAAAGAAATTTAGCTTCTGCGTGTGCCAGTGCAGGTGTGAAAATGTCTGGTGTCAGTTTGCTCGTGTGTGTGAGCACGTATGTATGCTTTAAATGTGTACACCCTTGCAAAGGGGGTGTGCATGCGCTGTGTGCATATCTATGCATATGTGACTGTCCGCGTGCAGATATTTGAATGCAGTTGTGTGAGAGTGTGTATGTGTATGAATTCTAGGCTGCAGAATCTGAATTTCCTCTAGTACTATTTTCCTGGTACACACCCAATCTTGATCCCCTTTCTTTTCCTTTCTTCTCGGAAATCCATTACGGAATGTTCTTCTTACCCGCCTGCAGGGGGAGGGGGCTAGGGGGAAGGGGAAGCTAAAATCACAAGGCCCAGATCAAAACACTCAGCAGCTAAATGAATTCGGCAGCGTTTTCCCGCATGACTTGGAGGGATAATTTAGTGAGGCCGCCAGCTGGAAGGAAAGGGATTAATTCTGCACTTAGCACAGCTCCAGTGAATAATTCATCACTGAGACCTTTGTGCCCAGCCCCTGGGCAACTGGGGAAGTGTCCTGCCCACCTGCCTGTTGCCTGCCTGGGTCCCCCAGTGCCCTGACCAGGGGCATTTGATGCTCCTTTCAGTCCTCAGGACACACGTGCCCCAGTGAAGGGGCAGGGGGCAGGGGGAGGTGAGGAAGGGGTTGGCAGTGGCCACTGGCAGACTTCAGACCTCAAGAAGAGGCCGTGGAGGGTTGAGCTCCAATCTGGGAACTTTGTGACATTTTCCAAAGGACCATGCTTCCCCTTTCTTGGGGTCTTCTGCTGCTTCTGTGTCCTCCCCTCTTAGTACCTTCCTGGTCCTACACCTAGTTTGGGGGGTGGGGTGGGATGTCAGGGAGTATCTAACAAACTCCCTCCCACCCAGGAATGAGAGGAATCTCTAGAGGGCAATGCAGAACATTCCACATCGGGGCTTGCTAATGGGAGGTTTCAGGCACTCACTAGAGGCCTTGTGGGGAGGCACTTGGGGGCTGGTACTTTCCCAGATATACCCCATACACCCTACACCATGGAACTCCCTGTGTTCTTCACAGGTAAGGTGACAGGGCCAAGTATCACTCCAGAGCTAGTGGCTATTTTTCCTGGCATGGGAAGCTGTCAGGAGTGGGCTGACCCAGACATCAGCCCCTCCAGGCATTTCCTGGGTTCATTGTCCAAAACTGCTCACATCCCAGCTTCACACCTGTCCCAGCATCACAGAGAGCAAAGTGGAAAAATTCCAGCAGGTGCCTGCTAGGTGCACTGGAGCCAAATGACCAGGGTCCAATTTGGACTCAGAGCCCAGGTGTAGAGGAAGAGCTCCCATCCATGGGGCAGAGCTCAGTCCCTGCTATCTTTCCACTTGGACCAACCCAGCTGTAGTAGGCAGAATTCCAAAAATGGGCCCCCTAGATTCCACACTCAAATCTGCAACCTGTGAATGTGATGAGCCACCACGCCTGTGATGATGTGATTATACTGCACAATTGACTTTAAGAAGGGGTGGTCGTGAGTGGGCCTGACCTCATCACAGGAGCCCCTCTAAAAGCAGAGAGTTTTCTCTGGCTGTTGCGGAGAAGGAAGTCAGAGAATTTTGAAGTGTGAGGGAGATCCTATGTGCCTGTCGGCTTAAAGATGGAGGAGGGCACTGGGAGAAGGAATGTGAGTGGGCTTCAGAGGCTGAAAGAGGCCTCCAGCTGACAGCCAGCAATGAGACAGGGACCTCAGTCCTACCACTGCAGGGAACTGAATTCTGGCAAGACCCTATATGAGCCTGGAGGAGTACTCTTCCCCACAACCTCCAGAAAGAACTGTGCCCCTGCCAACATCTTGATGTCAGCTATGCTGTCACAGACTGCCTACCCGTAGAAGTGTGAGCACATGAATGAATGGGTGTTGTTTTAAGCTGCTAAGTTTGTGGGAATTTGTTACCTGGCAACAGAAAAAGATATCCTAGTTCACCCTTGTAGAACCTTGATCCCGGTGAGCCAGGCTTGGCTTGGGCTGAGTTAGAGACTGAGTGGATCTGGGTGGCCCTCTGCTCTCAACTCTTCTCTTCCTAATCTCACCTTTCTCTCTGGATTTTTGGAGCCTCAAATCACCCTTAGACATTTCACCCAAAGCAGCAGTCCCCTCCTCCCAGAAGCCCCTGGCCCCAGCCCCTGAACAATACCAGCAATTGTGAAGGAGGTTGGAGCCCACTAAGGGGCTACAGGAGCTGGCACATGACTGTCAGGCCCTGAAATTCCCCTGACCCACAGCCTTACCTCGGAGGAAAGCAGCTGGAAGGAGAGATCCACCGTGGGGGCCTCACCACTCATGGTTTTCAGCGAGGTGTCCTGGGGAGAAGGAAACAGTTGGACCACACTGGCTAGGGCAGCTTCGGCCTCTATTCCACCCACTGTCTGGATTCTCCAGGAAGGTGCCTGCTGCGGGGGATGCCTGGAGAGTGGGAGGGAGGCGGGAGGTGGTCTCCTGGCTCTGCTTGCCCCTCACCACTGCCATGCCACCCTCCCACCTCCACCGGAGACCTGCCCAGACCTCCAGACCTGCTTCCCGGCAGAGTCAGGAAGCTCTCAATTGTGAGATCTACAGCATCATCATGGCCAGAAGTATTTCAGAGAAAAAGGTAGCTTAGAAATAGACAATGATGACTATAACGTCTTAATTCTTATTGAGAACCCATTCTGTTCTGTGTGCTTTGCAGGTATTTCCTCAAAAAATCTCACAGCAACCCTATGAGTAAAGTACTATTAATATGCACCCATTTTACAGACAAGGAAACTGCAGCACTGAGACTTTAAGCAGTTTTCCCATGGTCATGTGAGCTGGTAAGGGGTGGAATCGGAATTTGGACCCAGACAGTCTGGCTCCGGAGCCTGGCCTCTTGACTCTCTTGTTATGCAGAGAGGTTGTGTACAGGCAAGCTGCTCCCATTTTAGAGATGGGCACTCAGGTTCAGGGAGGTTAAGTAACTTGCCCCAGCTTCTATAGTGAGGACTAGGGCAAGTCAGGATTTGAAGGCAGGTCCGGCTGGTTAAAGGCCTGAGCTCTCGCTGCCCTCCCGCAGGGCCTCCCCGTGCTTCTCTTCAAGTCGCTCGGGCAATTTCATCACAAGCCTAGATTTTTGGTGTTCAGGAGAGCTCCTCACACCTGACAGTGGTCAGCTTCCCTGGTGGGAGCCCTGGTGGAAGCTGCTGGAGAAGCCAGATTTGCCATGTTGGTGGGGCAAGGTGGAGCAGGGTGGGGCGGCTGGGACCAGGTGGACCCGCCGTGGGCCCAGTCCCTGGTGGGGGACTCACGGTGATGGGGAGCCGCTCCACACGCAGCCCATTCAGGCCTTTTCCTGTCAGCATCTTGCGGTACAAACGGCTGTTTAGCGGCAACACAGAGACGCCCAGGGGCTTGCTGAGGGTCCATGGCTCACTGCCTTTCACTGTGAGGGAGGGACCAGCTGGGGCTCCCGCCAAAGCCCCCACTTCCCGGATCCCAGCGTCTGAGGCCCCACCCGGGCCCCATCCTTTGGTACCCAACATCTAGTTTTCCCATCCACACTGTCCATCTGTTTCCTGCCTCCTGGCCTTTTCTTGTACAAATATCTTCCTTCTCCTCTCTCCTCAGGGCTTCCTGAGTTCAAGGCCAACTCTAAACATAGTTGTGTCTGGGTATTTATACTGATCTCCCTTGTCTCTGACCTTTGGGGGCTTCATTCTTACAGTGTGAAACTAAGACTGTGGATCAGCTGGTCTCTGAACCCTGTCCACCCCACAGGATGTGAGCCCTGAGGGCTCCACTCCCTCTCTCCTCACTGAGAGGTGTATAGGGGTGGTGCAATAAAAACGCTTGCATCTATTATGGAAAGAAGGCCCACGCGTCCTGGCCCCTGCCCTAGAGCTGCCATTTGGACAAGGAAGCCAGCCAGGCGCTCCCCACTTATCTGCATGCACTGGGAGGCTGCCTTGGGACCTGGACCCCTTAACCCATCCCTGCAGGAGGCAGAGGCAGGATGGGCTGAACACTCTTTCATACACCTGTCCTGATGCATGGCTGCCCTGTTGTGGCACCAGGTGGCACTTACTTGAGGTGGAGGAGTAGTACTCCAGCACAAGGGCTGTGTCTTCTGAGAAGGTGGTGGCTCCATCTCGGCCTTGGAAGAGGAAGGACTGATTCCACACGGGCAGCTCCGGGGGACCCCCGGGCTTGGACAGCTGAAAGCAGAAGGTGGGAGCAGGTAGTGGGGCCACCGCTTCTCCCAAATCAAGGGATGGCTGGATATTTGGTTGTGTAAGTGTCTAGGTATGTCATAAACATTTGTCCCAAATATAAAAGCAATACACACTTAATGAATAAATTTTGGAAAATATGGAAAAGTAGAAAGGTTTAAAAAATCCACCTAAATTCCAACACTAAAGACAACTGTTCATAAGACCATTTCTTTCCACCTTTTTCCCTATGCCTATTTTGCATAATTGTCATCCCAATATCCCGCATTTTTCATTTACTCTTTTTTTTTCTGAAGAAGAAGATTAGCCCTGAGCTAACTGCTGCCAATCCTCCTCTTTTCGCTGAGGAAGACTGGCCCAGACCTACCATCCATGCCCATCTTCCTCTACTTTATATGTGGGACGCCTGCCACAGCATGGTGTGCCAAGTGGTGCCATGTCCACACCTGGGATCTGAACTGGTGAACCATGGGCCGCCCAAGTGAAAAGTGCACACCTAACCGCTGCTCCACCGGGCCGGGCTCTCATTTACTCTTAGAACCTAAGCCTATCCAGAGTCCTAGGGACAGTTGTTAGCCACGACTTTGGTTGCCACAGGATATTCTGTCGTGCGCACATGCCCTGGTCTCTCCCTTCCCGTTTTTCCTATAATTACACTATGTTGAATGTTCTTTGACACATAGCTCTGTATCAAATTACTTCTTCAGTACAAGTACCCAGAATGCAATTGGTGAGTTACAGGACACATGTATTTTAAGGCACTGGATTCATCATGGGTAGACTTTTCCTAAGAGTTGCATCAGCATTCATACCCATGGCTGGTGGTGTCATAGACGCCAAATTAGACATGACCCCTACCCTTGTCCCAGCCCCTCTCTGCCTCACACAGGTTTCCCAGCCCCTTGCAGAGCCCACGATGGGTCTTCATGGGGCATTCGGGGGACTTGACGGCACATGAAGCCAGCAGCTGGGGCACACACATAGGCAATATTTGAACAATGAAATAAGAAAGCATTAACTACAGAACCCCAATAAAGGGCTGTATGAGACATTCCTGTGGGTGATCAGAAAAGCTGTCTTGGAGGAAGCAGGACCTGAGGAAGGCTCTGAAGGAAGATTTGGCAGGTTGAAGGGAGGAAGGTCTTCTGGCTGGGAAAACAGCCTAAGCAAAAATGGGGAGGCGGCACCAAGCATGGCATGTGCAGAGGATGCCTGGAATGAGGAGGGACTCCAGGTGAGAGGTCGAGCATCTGCAAAGGCCGGAAGGTGGGGAGTGGGGCATGGGACATGGGGGCATCAGCCTGTCACACCACGGTCCCAACACGGGGAGGGGCTGGGGGTCACTGGCGCAGACTCTCCAAGGGGCTGCCTTGCCTCTGCCCCCAGCCAGGGGCTGTCAGCAACAGAGGCAGCCGCTCCCACCTCCTGTTCCCACCTCCTGCTCCCCTGTGGGAATCAGTCATCACTCGAAAAGGTCAGCACAAATGCACCACCAGTTCCCGGAGTTATTGATGCAGGATGGCAAAGCATCAGTGGGGGTCCACTCCCCCTGCGGCAGCAGGGCCCTGATGCCTATCTCACTAATGTGCGTGCTCTGTTCTCCGAGGCCCAGACTGAGGCTCAGCTGTGTCTGCCCCTGCCCCTGGGGAGATAAGCTGCAGTCACTTCGGGGCCAGGGGCCCTGAACACAGGGACAGTGACTGGGTTGATTGGGAGTGTTCCTGAGAGCAGCCTCTGGTGGCAGCTTAGGGACAGCCACTTGGCCATCAAGCCTGGGAGTGGCCTTTCAGGATTGATCCTCAAACCATGCCCAACTCAGAGCCATCTCATTCTCCTGGGGCCAGAGGGGCACCCACATAGCCTGGACCATCTGCCATGCACTGCGGCACTCAAGGAAGACCTGGGATTCAGCCCCCTGCTGCCCTATCTTTGCCCCTCCTCGGAAGAAGAGTATTTAATGGAAGCTGGTTGTCCTCTCTGGGGCCTATTAATGTGTCTAAATGGAATCTACAAAGCAAGAAATGGTGTCTGCCTGCCCAGTAAGGACAGTTCCTTCCCTGAATGGTTTCCCAGGATGAGTCCCTCAGGAAAGATCCCTTTGGACCTAGAATTGGGGAGGGAGGGTCAGCCTCTCCTGTGTGTGTATGGGATTGGGGGGCGGGGTCGCAAGGAATCAAGGTTAAACTCCCTTCAGAGCCTGATGCCAGGGCCCTGGTGAAGGTGCTGGGGGCATGTGGGGGAAGGGGAAGCTATTGTCCACAGATGCTGACGGGAAAGGCCAAGGCGGGCTGTGGAATTAAGGAATGGGATTGACTCTCAGCTGTGATCTTCAGCAAAGCCGTTAACCCCAGCCACTGAGGCAGACCTGCCTTCCCTGGCAACACAGCCTTCCTCACATGGGCCCACGGGCCCTCCTCCATTTCCCCCGGGGCCCACCATACCCACACCGACACCCACCCACACACTGCCTGCTCTGCCCAGGTGTAGTGGCGGCATCCTGGGAAGAGTAGCTGAGTGGGGCTGGGTGGGGCCTCAAGGGAGTTAGGACCCCTTGGCTCTGGGCCCAGGTCTGCCTCAACCTCACTGTGTGGCCTTTGGCAAGTCCCTTCCCCTCTCTGGGACCTGGCTTTGTCATTGTCCGGTGGGAAAACGTTTTATGCTCCATGCTTTGAAAGGCTGCTGTGAGGGTTGAAGGAGACAAGGGATATTCTGTGAGGGTGGAAGTTCAATTCACCTGAACTCAGCAAATGTTGACTGGGGGCTTCTCCACGCTGGATGCCTCTGGGGTGCTGCACGGCCTGTGGGGGAGCTAGAGCCAACCCCTGCTCCCCTCTGGAGCTCATTTCTTCCAAGGGGATAGGACACCCACTCCCTCCCACGCAGACACACACACACACTTTGATCCATGCAGAGGCCTAAGCAAGTTGTGAGTTTTGGGAGCTGGGGTGTCTGGGGAGAAAGCTATGACTTCTGACCTGGGGAAGCGAGGACCTGAGGGATCATGCAGTAGGTAAGAAGGAGGAAGGCCATTCCAGGCTGAGGGGCAGGTGAGAGAGGATAGTATGGGCGTGCAGAACAGCCACATCGAGTGGAGGCAGAGAAAGCCTGTGTGAAGTGGAACAGTGAGCTAGGTGGCTGGAGGGGACAAGGTCTGTGTACCTGGCTGACAGTGAGGGCTTTGTCGGTGATAGGACGAAGGGTCCAGGGGAAGGGTCCAGCCCTGAGTGGGGGGCTCTGTGGCTACTTCTCACAGGACAGATGGGGGCGTACCTAGTGGAGGCTGCTGTCGTGGTCTAGACAAGAGAAGATGAGGCAGGCCTTAGAGCTGGGTCTGTAGCATGGAAAGGGGCCCCATGAGAGCTTGGATACAGACTGGCCATAGGGCCTGAGACAGGAAGAGATGGCAGTGCCCACTGAGCCCAGGGCTGCTGACTGGTGCCCCTTCCAGGTAGGGTGCTGGCCACTCCCTCCTTCTCTCCACCTTGTGACACAGAAGCTTGCCCCTGTCTTCTCACTGCTGGCACCTGGGCACCTCTATGCCAGCTGCCAGTGAGCTCTCAACCTGGCCCAACCGCCATGGTGCCAGGTGACCTTCAACAAGTGTCTTGCCATTGCTAGACCTCTGGCGTCGAGTCCACACATGCAAGAGGCACTGGGGGTAAGTCTGTGGCCAGGGGCACCTCCCCCACCAGACTAGTTAGGCAACAAAGGCAGCCAGAGAGGGCCTGGGGGTGGGAGGGGCTCACTCATTAAAGCAGCCAGCGCCTGCTGCCCCTCGAGACTGCCTGCTGATTGGTTCATAATTTTCTGGGCAAATGCAGGGCCATGTGTGAGATGACTCTGGGGAAATCAGGCCGAGGATTGGTTTGAGTTTGAAGCCTCTGTCCCTAGGGTCCCCCCTTCATCCCACCCCTCCCTGGCACCATCACTCTTGTCCGTGTCTGAGCCTTCTTCAAATGTCTTTGCCTTTAACTGAAGGCTGGGGCTCTAAAGGGGTGCCTCATTCTATATTTGCCATACCAGACATGAACGCTGGTGGGCAGACAACAGGAAGGACTTCTCAGGCACCCGTGTCTTCTTCAAGGCCTAGGAAAATGTTGGGACCATCATGTGGGGCAAGCTCCCACTGAAGTGCAGACTATGGGAAGAGATTAATCTGGCTACCCGCTGGACCCAGCCACGATCTGCACACACTTCCCAACATACTCAAACACACTCCCCTCCTCTCCAGTCCTCCTGCACACCCATAGCTGTGCTCTTGCTCTCAATCGCCCTACACCAACCCTTCCTACTGAAAACTCAAGAGACCTGTGACTGGATGCCCGCGTTCATCACCCAGGCTTCACATCCCTCATACCTGATTAAAAAAAAATTTTTTATTGTGGTAAAATATACATAACATAAAATTTACCGTTTTAGCCATTTTTAAGCGTACAATTCAGCAGCATTAAATACATTCACAACATTGTGTAACCATTACCACCATCCATCTCCAGAACTTTTCCATCATCCCAAACAGAAAATCTGTATCCACCTAACAATAACTCCTTATTCTCTCCTGCCCAGCCCCCAGCACCACTGTGCCACTTTCTGTCTCTGAGTTCGCCCAGTCTGGGTACCACATGTCAGTGGAATCACACAGTATTTGTCCTTTTGTGTCTTCCCTCCTCTGATTTTTACAGCTCTGACAGTCCCTCCTGGTTTGTTATTAGATTAAAGATTATCTTATGTTAGTGTTTAACCTTTTCACATGTGTGGCTCCTTTCTTCTCCAGGCAGAGAGTTCCTGAGGGCCGCTTCTCCCCAGTAGAGACGCGCATGGCCCTGGGTATGCGGCAGGATTCAGTACACTCTTAACAGTCACGTGAACAGCCGACTGACTGAGTGAATAACTGAAGGAGTGGGTGAGTTACGAACCAGTGAGAGGGAATGAGGAAGTGAATGAGGAGGAGTGAATGAGGGAAGGAGCCATACCTGAGGGCACCCGTTCTGGCTGACTCGAGGAACATCAAAGTTCATCACGGATGGGATAGGGAAAGAGAGTGAGGTGATGGGCAGCCCCAGGGATGTCGGGTCCTGGTTTACCTGATTGACCCTGGGGAGGCAAGGAGACAGGGGTCAGCACAGGAGTGCTACGAGTGTCTGGCACACTTGGCTCTGTGCCCAAGCCTGGCAGCCAAGGGCTCCCACGTGGGCTCTGGATTGATGTGAGAGAGGAGAGTGCAGTGGCCCACGTAGTTCAGGCCTGGACACCTGGACAGGTGATGGGCCCTGGTCCTTCTTATCGCCGCCCAAAGCCTTGGGAAAGTTCATCTTGGTCAGGAAATGGGCTGCAGCCCCCAGGTTCCCTTCCTCATGACTCACTGTGGCCTTGGCCACATCCGAAGGCCTCAGCTGCCCCATCTTTAAAATGGGCCTTGCATCCCTGCCTCACCTGTGGAAGACTTGCCAGAGTGATGCACTCCCAGGGTGGGAATCCCAGTTTAGGCTTGTGGGATATGGAGGCTGCAGGGGCAGGATTCAGGGTGTGTGTGTGTGTGTGTGTGTGCATCTGTGCACTGAGTGAGTACATCAGTCATCTTCATTCCTCCTGTAAGCAAGGCGGGTTCACAGGTCATCAGAACTCAACAGGTGGCACAGATGAGTCAGGGAGTCCTCTTGGGCCATCAGAGTCAGTGGAAGTGACAGAGGCAGACAGCTGACCCCCAGGAGGTGGTGCTGTCACAGAGGTCATATGTTCACTGGGGAACTCACTGCAGTGTGCAGCCTCCAGTGGCCAAACCAGCCTGAATCCCCTCCTGAGGAATGTGAATCCACCAAGCCCCAAAAGGGGTCTGGGGAGGACGGGGATGAGCCAGGGCAGGGCCAGGGAGACCTCCAAGATGGTGAGGGAAGGGACTCCTAGGCAGGGCTAAAGGTCATGATGTTCTGAGTTGACCCTTAGCCTGCCTCCTTTGGGGACAACCATGGGTTGGAGGCTTGACCCTGAACTAGAGTGGGGCAGGGGGAACTGTGGATGTGATGGGGGTGAGATGCGAGGGAGGTTTGGAGGGGCTGAAGACACCTTCTCCTCCTCCTTACACTGGCTCCCCTCCCAGCCTGCTCTCAGGAGAGGTCTGAACTGCCCCTGTCTAGGGGCTGTGGGCAGCTTCCCGGGACCTCAGACCCAGTGGGGAGGTTTGAAAGGCTTGGGATGGGCAGGTTTCTATGGCTCCTGGAATCATGGCCTGTGGTGGCAATGACAGCCTTCTCCCTCCTTGTCCTCTGCCCTCCCCTTGCTCCTTGCCCACACCCACCTGGGCCCCACTCACTTAAAATCCTTGTAGTTGGGAACCACCCTGGCAATGACCACCATGGGGTTGGGATTGTTGGCCAGGGGTTCGTTGACTCCTCGCAGAAAGACCTGGGGAAGAGAGGAGGCAGGTGAGCCCCTGGGGGCCTTGGGCCCTCTCAGGGACATGGGCAGCTCGCCTGACAACTTCCTCCCCAACAACGGGCTCGTCCCTGCCTCCACACCTCTGCACCTGCTCCCGCCTGCTCCTGCCACACTCGGGTCTCTCTCTGCTCAAGGCTGCCCTCTTTCAGACCCTGGGCTAGGCATGGAAGGCAGGAGAGAAGACACACATTCTGTGCCCGCACACTGCCGTCCCAAGCAGCTCTGACCTGGCTCCTGGCCCTCACCCCTTACTCGCCAATGGGCTCCTATTCTCCCCTCAGTCCTCACCCCAACTCCTTCCAGCTGTGATTCCTGGGGCTCCTTTTACTTCTCTGACCCCTCACTGGCTCCTGTTTCTACTCCTGCCCCAAACCCATCTCCATTCCTAGGCAATCTGATACCCAGTGGCAAAAACTGCCTTCTTAAAAATGAATTGAGTCACGTCATTCCCCTGCTTGAGGCCGTGCAATGAGCACCTCCCACCTCACCACGCTTGGAATGAATTCCATAATTCTTACCATGATAGCCAAGGCCTGCAGGTGTTCGCCCATTGCCCCTCGGCCCACATCTGCTGCCAGCCTTCCAGGACTCTTTTTGCTCCAGCCTCTTTCTTCTCCCTCCTCCAACATGCCCCACTTGTTTCTGCCTCAGGGTCTTTGCACAAGCTGATCCCTCTGCCTAGACTCCCCACTCCTGCCCTCACTTACTCAGTAGCTGGCTCCTTCTCTTCCTTTAGAGCTTAAATGTCACCACCTCTGAGAGGCCTTCTCTGACTACTCCTTCAGCCCCTGAATTGCCTCTTCTATAGCACCATCATAGTTTGTGTTTAATCTAATTTCTTTCTTGTTTATTTTCTGTCCATTTGACTCAAACCATTTGTCCCCAGGGGCAGGGACCATGTCCATCTCATTCACTGTGGTATTCCCAGCTTTTAGCAAAAAACTGGCAAAGAGTAGGAGTTCAATATATGTTTGTGGGATAAATGAGTGCTGTGTTTATGAAGAAGAAAAGAGGAGAGAAGAGGAGGGACAAGTTGACTGTGTTTATGAGTGAGAGACAGGGAACCCCAGAGACCTGGGCGGGGAAGCGGGAGGAGACAGTCAGTGGCCTTGGGGAGGGGCGGGTTGAGCTGGTCTTGGAGGATGGCTGGGATCCTAATTATGTGGTGCTGATGGGAAGAAAAGCAGGAAGGGGAAGGGACTCTGGACACGGCTGAGGGGCACGCTGGAGGCAGCCCTCAGGACGGGAAGAGGCCCTTGCCAGGTCTACTCCAGTTGGGTCACTGTCACCACAGCCAGTCGCTGCTCCATTCTGGGGCTCAGTTTCCCAACTTGTACACTGAGGGGTTGGACCATACTCTCCCTGGACCTTCTAGCTCTGACCTTCAATAGGAGGAGAAGACCTGCCAGTAGCAGCTTGTCCTGGGTCCCTCTCTCTTTTCTCCTCCCCCTCAGTACCCTCCCCTAAGCCCCTCTGCCAGGACCCATCTCAGCTGCTTGCCAGCTAACTCCACACAGGTGTGAGCTGATTGGGGCTTAAAATAGTTGGGCCTTTCAGCTGTCACTGGGGGCTCCAGAGATTGAAACCCTTCACCAAAGTCAAAGGACTGAGTCTCTGATGGTGGCATTTCAATCTTTGGATGGGGGTGGGGATTTGGCCTTGAGGGATTTCACTGGAACACTGTCAAACCCTATTGCTCACAGGGACTCCAAAAGGTATAAGGGCTGAGGGGCAGTCTGGGAGTAGGGGGAACTAATTTACAACTGTTCTGTACTGAATGGTCAGGTGTGAATGAGACAGCTGCCCAAGCACACCTACTCATGACAGCCTGGGGAGGAAGAGAGCAATTTCTTCTCCCGCTGTGCCATCAGGCGCAGACAGGGAAGACATCTGTGCCGGGGCAGGGGAGCAGGTGGGGGCTGGAAGGCTGAGGGGCCCAGATGCTATGGGATGAGTCAGAGGGTTGGGAGGGGAGTTGGGCAAATCCACAGTGGGCCCCCCTGCAGGCCAAGGTTTTGCCTAGGTGTTGTGGGTGTGGCCTCCTCCCTGTGGGGTATGACCTGGGGACAGCAAAGTCAAGCTTTTGTCACTCTTCCTTGCTGTGTGTGTGTGTCAGCGGAGGGGGGGGGGGCGCAGGGAGAGAGACAGAGAGAGAGAGAAAGCAAGCTGCTGGCCATCCTCAGGAAAGAACATGATAGAAGAGAGTGGGGAGATGGGAGCAGAGGGCACTTGCAGGTCTGACACATGCTGGCATCCAAGAGGTGGCTGTGGGGATGCAGAGATGTGGGTCAGGAGCTCTAGGCTGCCATACCAGACTCCGCTTAGGTCTCAGTGTCTCCAGCTGTGAAATGGGACTAACGAACACTTCTTGTCCTGCCAGCTCACAGTGCTATGGGGCAGGTCAGATCAGCCATGTTGGGGCAGGGAAGCCCAGAGCTTGGGCCTCCCGGCTGTGCCCTGATCATATTCAGGCCATGGCTGGATTAGAGTCTGTCACCCCTGGGCAGTTTAAAGGCTGGGGAAATGCAGAGGGCCCAGGTTCCTGGACCACATCTTCCTGGAGCATCACTGGTCCTCCTGAGGCTGCTGAAAGGCCCAGGGTTAGAAGGTAATGGCAGGGGCTCGGGGAGGAGGCATGTGTGGAAGCTATGCCCAAGCTAGGCCTGGCCCTGGCCTGGCAAACGGAAGAGGTTCTTTAAACAGATGCTGAATGAATGTATGAACACCTACCTGGAAGACCAGCCAAACCTCTTCAGAAACAGAACTCAAGGAAGGGTGGGGAGGCCCTAAAACTCTCACTTCGGGAATGTATACCCAAGGTCAGGGGTTACTACTCCAGGAGTAGACAGAACAGGAGAGAAAACAGCCAGGGAATGTGGGCCAAGGAGGGGGCTTTTCCTCCCTCCGTGAGATTCAGACAGACAGAAGGCTTCGGGAACCTCCCGTCCAGCAGCAGTCCCTGCATGGTGTGTGAGGAGCAGAGCGAGGGAGGGCAAGGTTAGGGCAAGACGATGTGCCTGGAACGTCCTGGAAAAGGTTGGGTAGGCATCGTATCTTCATCTCCGTCCACATCATCCCCACCATCTGTCCCAGAGCTTGTTCTTCACAAACTGCTCCCACTATTCTTGAAAGACCTGGTTGCTTTCTCCCTTCTTGATTTCTTCCTCTCATACTCCTGCCCCACACTGTCAGGCCAGCCAGAAGCGGTCAAGGGCAGGGCCTAGGGGCCTCTCCAAGCTTGGTCCCTTCCCGCCCCACCACATCCCGAGGGCCCCAAGCCCAGCACCTCCAGAGCTGTGTGGTTGCAACCAACATAGCGGGGGATGAAGCTGCTCTTCCGAACGACTGTTGCGTACACTTGGGTCTTGGCAGTGTCTTTGTCAGCTTTCCCAGACTGGGTGGGCTGGGGACAGGGTGGGGGAAGAAGACACACAAGAAGGAGAGTGACTAAGGGACAGACCTGGCCATAAATCCAGTCCTCCGCAGACAATCACTTGGCATTGCTCCACTGGGACTCCGAGCTGATAATTAAAGCTCATGGTCCCTGCGAGCCCTTCCAAGGAGATCAATATAATAAATCTTCCCTTTTCTATTTGAATATTTCATCGCCCTCACAAGGACCACAGCCTTCCTACTCTCTCTGTAAAGATGTGATAACAAGGCCTGGTAAGTGGACAGAGACCCGGGAGGATGGGTGATGCTCCCAGAATTACAGTTGAAGTCCTGTCTCCCAGGTGAGTCACTAACCTCTCTGGGTCTTCGCTCCCCTGCCTGCCCCTGGTGCCCTGTCCTGAGACCCTGGGCTTGGGGTTCTCCTCGGAGCCTAGGGCAGATAAAGCCCCCTGGGGCCATGTTTGAGGAGTCTCCTGGAAAGAAGGGCAATGCCAAGGCCTGGGAGGGGAGGGAGGAGGGGAACTAACCCCAACTGAGCACCTACTGTGTGCCACGCACCTTGCTACGGGCTTTAAGCCCATTATTGCATGCCATCTTCCAAGTGGCCACGCAAAGAGGCGTATTGTCTTAATTTTGCTGATGAGGAATGGAGGCCTACCCCTAGGCAGCTCCTTATGGATATACAGCAAGCAAGCAGCAGATCTGCTTCTAGACAATCTAACTTCACATTGTTCTTTACTCTAAACCACTACAAATGTCTGAGTGCACATTGGGGGGGGGGGGGAGGTGATGATGCTTCTGCTTATCTCTGGCCCAGTGCCTGGCACACAGTAGGGGCTTAATAGGTACTTCAGCAGTGAGACAGTGAATTCTCCTTTCCACCAATCAGCACTGGGGAGAGGGGCAGGCAGGGGAGCTAGCCTGGGGGCATTCAGGCCATGGACTGAGGGACCCTGAGGCTCCCCACTCCAGGCTCATGCGCAGTTGTCCATTGGATGGGTGCATTCTGGGGAACACTTTATCTCCCACATACCCCAACTCTCCTGGGCCTTCTTCCTGCCATGGCAGTGCATGGAGGCAGCAAAGAAAGAACTGACTTGGGAGACATCATGACCTGGGCTCACCCTAGACTCTGCTGCTCTCTTGCTCTGTGACCCAGGAGGAGAGGGGTCCTCTCTCTGAGTCCTAGTCCTATCTCTGCCAACTACAATTCACCTTGAGCATTAGAGACTGTGTGTATAGTGTCTAGCCCAGGACTGGAACATAGGAGGTACTCTGTAAATACCATATTGCTTTGATTTTTAGATACACCCCCACTCTCTCAACCTATATGAAATCAGAATACACCTTTAGTTGGTGTATTCATTTAATGTGGTAGATGTTCTAAGCTAATTGGGCTGTTTTATGGAGATGAATTTGGAGAATTCCAAAATCTTATGGAAATCACTCCTGTCTACCTGCCAGGAGCTGTGTTTCCTGAGCCCCACATGGTCCTAGACTTGTCATACTACAGGGTGGACATGGGATGCCCTGGGATGCTCTGAGGGCAGAGCTGTGGGCATCAAGGTGGTTCCCACCTGCTCTCTCCCTACCTGTCGCAGGCCCACGTGGGCCCAGAGCCTAGAGCTCTGACTCACCGTCACCAGCTCAAAGTGGTAGGGGTGGAAGACACGCAGGTACTTGATGGGGATTTGGTAAGACAACAGCTCCTCTTTCTTTTTGTTGTCTACCACCTTGAGGACTACATCTAGAGTGAGAAAAAAAATGAGCACAAGGTCAGGACTGGGCTTAGCTGACCACTGTCCCTCCCAGTGAGGTGAGAGACATTGCTGACAGTAGGGGAGCAGGTGCCACATTGAGGAATCAACATGTATGCACATGTGTGGAACACACACATGCACACTTCACAAGCACTGTCTGAGCCCCTGCACAGGGCAAGACTCCATGCTAGGTGCTGTTAGGACCCAAAGATGCAGTTCTCTCCTGTGGTCCAGAAACTCCCAACCCAGAGATGGACACACACAGAACCAAGTCCAGCCCCTGATGGCAACAGACACACATGTGCACTCACAGAGACACACATGTAAGTACCCTTTCAGGGACTAAGGCTCCTTCCTTTGGTCACTGGCTTCTCAGGCAGGAAGGGGAGGGATTCTCTCTCACATGTTGCAGATGGAGAAACTGAGGCTCAGTAAGAAAAAGCAATCTGCTCAAGAAATCTTTCAGGGGCCTGCCCCATGGCTGAATGGTTAAGTTCACACACTCTGCTTTAGTGGCCCAGGGTTTCGCTGGTTCAGATCCTGGGTGTGGACATGGCACCACTCATTAGGCCATGCTGAGGTGGTGTCCCACATGCCACAACTACAAGGACCCACAACTAAAAAATATGCAACTATGTACTAGGGGAATTTGGAGAGAAAAAGCAGGAAAAAAAAAGGAAGATAGGCAACAGTTGTTAGCTCAGGTGCCAAACTAAGAAAAAAAAAAAAAAAGAAATCTTTCAATGCAAATGTCAATAAAAGTCTACTCCAAGAAAATGAAAACTAATCTAAACACTAAGAATAATGCACCACTTAGAAAACTCCCACCAAAGAGACTACGTTTTGTCATAAAATGCATGAACATTGGGATGAATTTTGAGGATAAATAACACCAAGGACCTGCAAAAAATCATGGCAGTGCTACTTAGTGAGCACCTACTGCATGCCAGGCATGGGGATGGGTGCTCCTGAGCCATTATTCCAACAAAGCCCCACCACAATCCCTTACGTAGGAGTCACCATCTCTGTTTTTAAAATGGGGATGCTGGAGCTCAGAGAGGTTATATAACTTGATCAACAGCACACAGCTGGTAAATGGCTGATGGGAGAGGCTGGAGTTGGTGACCCTTGAGGCATCTTCCCACTCTGGAAGTCTATGATTTGAGAAGGAAGAGGAGATGTGGAAGGAGGAAAGGAAAAGAAAGATGGAAGAGGTGGGAGAAGGAATGCGGAAGATGGAGGAGGGAAGGAGATAAAGGAGAGATCTGGAGAAGAAAAGGAAAGGGAGGATCAGGCCGTACCTGAGGGAGACTCTTGGGTAGCCCCTTGCACTCTGCCTCTCTTCTTGAGACAAGGACATTTCAGCACCACGGACAGCTGCCAGCTCAGCAGGCGCAGCAGGCTCGGAGCCCAGGGCTGCTGGGGCACTTGGAGCTGAGTGGGTCATCTGGATGAGGGGCTGGAGGAGGAAGCTGAGGGCTTTTCTGGTTACTCTTCCTTTCTTCCTCCTCCTCAGAGCTACCCTGGATGCACTGAGAGGGAAAGACACTTGCCAAAGTCCCTCAAGAGCTGGCCACATGCGATCCGTGATCAAAGGAAAGAGTGGAAAATGAGCACCAAAAGGACTTCAGGCTGCCTTGAAGAAAGTAGAGTAAGGCAGAGGATTTCCAGTCAGCAGATCTGGGTTCTAGTACCAACCCATCAACTTGCTCTGTGACCTTTAGCCAGTCATTTAACTTCTCTGAGCTTCATGTTCCTGCTCTGCAAAACGTTAACACTTCAAAAAACAGTCTCTCTCCTAATATTGTTGTAGGGAGGGGAATGTGTTTTTCAAGCTATAAAATTCTAAGCAAACGCTCCTCGTTGCTGTCACTATTTCCCTCCTTGTTAACCGTCCGTAGCACTCCATACACTCACCCAGCCCTGAGCAGACTGAAAAAACTTAGCTGGGGGATTCCAGTGCTCTCAGCCAAAGCCACAACAGTAGCTGTGGAGGCTGCAGCCCCTCATGGCCACTACCCATGGGCCCTGAGTCCCTAGATCCAGCTGGACCTTGCTGAGGCTGAACACGGTGGGGGGGGGGGGGGGGAGTGTCCTGCATTTCTCCCCCTCCCCCAATCTCTGGAGCTCCATGTGGGCAGTCGCAGAGGAACTGTAGCTGGGGGTAACGGACAGCATCCCTCCCTGCTCCTGTCTCCATGCTACAAACACGCCTCATCAGTTTCCTCTCTGGGCATTGTGCCCCTCTGGCCTCCCACTGCTCCCTTTGTGTGGCCAATAAGCTGTTTCTGCCATTTCTGCTGTCGCCTGCTTTGGCCCTGACACAGGGTGTGTAACTCCCCTTTGCTTTTCATTAACACATCCTTGAGCTACTTCCTACCCTTCCCCCACCTCTTGGCCTGGCCCCCATCTCCCTCACCCCCCACCGCATACATCACCACAGCAACCGGTTCCAACCAGGTTCCAACAAGCATCCAGCTACTTCAATCTGCAAAGAGGCACCTGCCGATATTCCCTGCCTGCCCATGAGGCCTCCCCACCCCCTGTCCCTCCTGCAGTAAGTCCTGCTCCCCTCTCTACTGCACAGATGGGCCCCAAGGCCACTGACTCATCACACCCTTTCCTGGACTCACCCTGGATGTGTAGAACTTAGGGCAGGATCCCAGCCCAGGTCCACTCACTACAACCTCTAATCCGGCCAGCCACAGAGATGCGTGCACACACACACGCTACACATGTGCATGCACACACACACATGCAAGACATATATATATGCATGCCTACACAGTCACAAGCACTTACACACACACAGTGTTCACATATGCACAAGAACTAGCACGCAGACATTCACACACAGATGCACACATGCATTTGCATGAAATCCTAGGTCAATTTTCCCTCCTCTTTCACATTTTCTCAAATCATCCCAACAGCCCACCTATTCCTTTACAGGCAGAAAAAAAATCCTCTGGCTTGACCCAGAACAAGCTTCTTCCCCTTTCATTGATGTTCCTCCTCGTCCTTTTCCTCTCTCCTCTTTTACCATCTTTAGCAGCTGGCTTTCTGCTCTTTGTGAGGTGGACGAGGAGTTCTGTAAGTGCCTGGTGAGATTTCAAGGGGAGAAGTAAAGCCTGTCCTCTGAGGGAAGGACCACCTGCAAGACGGGGGCCTGAGGTTCTTCTGACTAGATACTGCAAGAGTCATGGTGGGCACCTGTGGGTCTGTGCTGACAGTGCTCCATGCCAGCACCCACAGTAACCATGGCAACAGTCAGTCAATACTCCTGTGTGCCTAGACTGAGCTCTGGCCTGAGAGTGGAAATCAAAACACAAATGTGGCGTGTTATGCATGTATACTGATACCTTAAGTTGCCTGCAATGTTCAAATTTGCCAAAACACAGGGACTGGAAAGGCTTCGGGGGATAAAGGAGAGAGAACTATCAAGCAGCTTCTATGAGAGTGGATCCCAACCCTTGGAAGCACAGACACCACTGTCTGACAGTTGGCAATGCCAGGGGAGGACACAGCAGGATAAACAGCCATTCTAGGGAAGCAGCCAGAACACTGGAGCTACAGTGAGAGCATGTAAAGCTGAGTCCTAGGTCCTCTGCTTACTGATTACTAGAGCTTGAGCCAGTTATTTTAAGTTCCCTGAACCTCAGTGTTCTCAGCAAAGCCATGGGAGCAGCATTGTTCCTCCTGGAGGTGTGACTCCAGTGAGCAATGCATGGGGACGTGCAGGAAGCTGTAACGTGCCGTTTCCGTGGGAGACGGCCATAACCACAACCATGAAAATAATAACAATGGTCATAAAACAGATAAGCTTTCATTGTCTGGAAAATTCATTTATGTGGAACAACTTATTTTTCAAGAAGGCTGGGGAGATGAGGCATGACAGTATTATGATTTTTTTTCTTTAAAGTGCTTTTAACTGAGCCCAAGGAGGCATTCAGGTAGCTTCCAGCTGAGTTGAGAGGGGCCTGCCCCTGCCTTACATCCCCTCCCGCACACACCAGCACCCCCCACCCCCACCTCACCTTCTCGCCCTGCGTCCTCTGCTTGGATCTCCACTTTGACTGTGTCTCCCCAGCTGGGGGCTTTGGTGGGCTCTGAGGTCACAGATGTGACTGCCTTGGAGTTCTGGTTCTTCGCTTCCTCAGATGTGGTTTTCCTGGGGAGGGGAGGGCAGGCTGAGTCCAAGGGAGGATGTCCTGCCTACTGCTCATCTCTCCCGACTCCACTGTCCATAAATCTGAGCAGAGGGTGGACAAAGCACAAAGAGCTCCCTCCCAGGCAGAGACACTCATGTTATCTCAGGCCCAAGGGACGCCTGGTCTCTCTCCTTGGCTGCCCTGCCTGTCTGCATGACCACACTGTCTCGCTGGCCACTACTGAGGCCTTCGTGTAGACTCAGGCACCAGAGGCTGAGGGCGGGGGTGGGAGAGTGGGTAAGACACCTGGCCTTTCTGACTTCCTGCCCCTGCCAAGGCACAGCTCCCCAGCAGGCACCTGTGTGCACAGACTCCTCGCCCTGGCCCTCTTCTCAAGGTTCTGCTCAGTAGGAGAAGCCTCTGCACAGGGCGGCTGTGTGGTGGGTGCCCACCTGGCCGGCCTCGCCTTTGACCTTCAGTTCCTGAAGCTTCTGGTCCATATTCCCAAAGCTTGGCCCAGCTCCCCCAGCTCTGAACCCTTTCAATGGAGCACAAACATGCTACTGGCGTCTGCAGCAGCCACTGTGTGCGGGGCCCTGGGGTGGGCACCTGGAGCTGTGCATGGGGCAGGGTGGGGGGGTGGTGAGGGGTTTCTGGCTCTTAAGCACTCACAGGTCATGCAGGGCTAGGCTGTCCAAGGTGAGGTGGGAGCTTGGGCCCTCTGCATCCCAGTGCATCCCACAGGTATCTGAGTAAGTGTCCCTGAGATCCTGAGCCATCAAACAGCTCAGTGAGAGAGTTAATACTTCTGTCGTGCAGGTTATTGTGTCGGGCTGTAAACGGTGCTGCTACATTAACTGCAGCAATCGCGGGCAAGGAGTCATCCCAGGGAGCCTGCAGCGTGGGGAGCCACACACCCTCCTCGGGAGGGGCAGGCATCCACGCAAACAGTACCCCAGGGTGGGAAGCAGAGACAGAGCCTTCCCCAGCCTTGGTCCCAGTCCCAGAGGCCCCCAAAGGGAGTGTGGGGCAGGAAGTTGTCCCAGAAGCTCAGAGCCAATCTGCCTCTGTGTTAGCACCAGCCTGTGGTTCTGCCCAGCCAGCTGGTTCCTCTCCTCCAGGAGGCCCTCTTGGACCATCTGGCCCTCACTGCTTCCTCAGTCCTCTGCACTTGAGTGACACAGTGGCCTGGCTCCTTGCTGTACACTTGTCACAGCCCTATTCCTGTGGACAACCTTTCTTATGGGAGTCTGGTCTCCAAGCTCCAGGGGTCAACCGAGGACTCCCCTTCTGCTTTGACTGAGAGGCAGTGTGGCATGGTGATAACAACAGGGTCCCTGGTGTTGGACCACCTTGGTTCCAAATCCTAGCTCTACACCTTACTAGCTGCATGACTTTGGGCCAGTTATGTCACCTTGCTGTGTCTTACTTCCTTCATCTGTGAAGTGGGGGTGATAACGCAGGGTTGTGCTGGGCATGAAGTGAGTTAATATGTGTAAAGTGCCTGACACATTGCTAAGCACCATAAAAGTGTTCGTCATTATCATCATCATCATTTTAGTTGCCCTGGCCCAGTGTCTCCCCATCACGACCCTAATGCTGGGTCTGCAGCTGGGGGTCTCTGGCTGCTTTGACTAAGGTGTGGAGACCTGGAAAGAGCACAGCCTTCAGAGCCACACAGAACCAGGTTTTGAGCTCACAGTCATCTCGTAGCCAGGTCAGCTCCCCACTCTGAGCCTCAGTTGCTTCCTCCCTCGGACACTGGCTGTAAGGACTGGAAAGAAAGCATGTAAAGCTCCTGACACACAGAAGGCCCCAGTTCAGGTTATTCCCTCATTTGTGACATAAAACAGCCTGGGTGTTTCTTAAAGGGACCTGACTGAGGGCAGCATGAGGGGGAGAAAGGGAGGTGCTGAGGGAGGGCTGAGATGAGAAGGGGTACATCTCCCAGACGTGTGCCCATCCACACACATTGCCTCCCCACACCTGCAAAGGGGCCCTTCTGGCCCAGGGGCACATGGGAGGCTGCCAGGCTGAAGCAGAGAAGCCATCAAGGCTGGCAGGGCAGTTGAGCTGAGTCTGCACCCCGCTTGGGGCCCTTCGTCCCAGCTCTGTGACCTCTGCTGACTGGGGGGTGCAGTCTGCGCCCTTGCTCCTGCCACTCTGGGCCCTGGTTCTCCCCCTCGACAGCTGCCCCCACAGTCAGGGGCCTCAGAGCTCACAGCAGCAGCCTCTCACCAGCTATCATTACGCCTGCTCTGTCCCTTCCCCCACTCTGCATTAGCCTCCACTCCTCCCTGAACTGTGCTCAACAGAGGAAGGAGGAAAGAGAGCAACAGAAAGGTGGATGCATCTGGGGAGGCAGTGTTCCAAGGAGGTGTGTAAGGAGTCCTTCTACTCCAAGACCTCGAGCCTGCTCCTGCATGGGCACATGGTATTTTGTATCCGTGGGGGCCTCCCAGTGCATGAAGAAGACAGAACCAAGGGGTGAAAGATGGACCTGAGTCACAAGGAGTGCAGTGACAGAATTCAGGTTGGAACCCATGACATGTACTTGTCAGCCTGTCTTCCACCTTCCTGATGTCTTCAGCCTCTTGTCCCCTCCCCTTCTCTACACAAGCTCCTGGATGTCTGGCAGGAGAAATTCCAGGTGGAAAGAGATGGGAAAGGCCATGGACAAGGCCAAGGGAGCCTACCACCGGTGCTGACTTCGTCCAGGCAGAGAAAGAGTTAAGCAAGCATCTCCCCTCCCTTTCCTCAAACACACATCAAAGACCGGGTCAGGCTAGGTGAGTGGGGATGAAACAACTCTGGAGGGGTGTGGCCCCAGGGGAAGAAGGGAGGCTTTTCGCAGGTGGAGGGAGACTGTCAGGGTAATGTCTTTTCCTGGCACTGCTGACTCCTCCGGGCCTTGATGCTATTCTAGAAACTGGAGAGCTAGCGGGACTTCTGATTTCTCACAGAATTGGAGAAGGGGACCAGCTCACTCCATGCTCCCAGTCCCCATTCTGCACCCCCAGCTGGGCATATGGGAGGCTGTGTTCTAGGACCTGCAGGCCCCTGATGGAGCTCAGGTCTCCCAGCACAGTCTCAGAGCCCAGGGGCAAGACTAAGATCCTCCCTCCCTGTCCCTAAAGTTCTGGCCTGGCTCTAGCAGTCAGGGCCTGGTGGGGAGCTGCCAGGTGCTGCCTGCTGTCCTGGGACTCAGACCTAACGCAGCCGTGGCAGAGGGGTGGGGCAGGGGGCAGCCACACCAGGATGACACTGGGGTTGGGTTCAGAGGCCCAGTGCAGCAGTCCTGGGTCCCAAGCTGCCAGGAAATGTAAACCTCCCTTGACCCTGCCCACCTCCCAGGGTGCTGGAGGGATCTGTGCGTGATTGACAAAATCCAGCCAGGTGGCCCTGGGGCTCCCACCCCACCAGGGCGTGGGGGTCAGGCCGAAGCACAGCTGTAAGTGGGAGGGAGAAGGACTTTGCTTTCCTCTGAGGTCATAACTAAGGGAAATGCATTGTCTGGTTCCCAGAGGTTGCAGCTGTAAGCGGAGGTGAGCAGTGGAAAGCACAGGGCATTGATGGAGAGGGCGCAAGCTCCTGAGCCACTCCCCGCCTCTGCCTGTCCTCTGAATGCTCTCTAGGGCACACATGTCAGAGGTGGAACCAGTGTGCCACTGTCCCTGCCTCCTGGAAGTCTCCCCTGAACAGCCCCTCTTCTTTGATGCCCCTCCATCAGCACAAGCATAGGTGTGCATGCATGGGTGTGTGCACACATGCACATACACACACAGGCTGCCCCAGAGAGGTTTGTGTGCCACACTGTACCCGATCTCTGTCCCCAGCCCCCGGTCTGCCAGCCCTCAAGCTGCCTCTGAGCTCTCTAAGCCCACCTCCTGCACCTGCCTTCCCTGTCCTTTTGGTTTCCCATACTCCTCAAGGCATCAGAGCATGAACAACTGTCATGGTCTGGCCTCCTCTGCGGCAGGGCTTCGGAAGGCGAGGATGCAAGCCACCTGGCTTGGCCTGAGTGCCAATCCCAGGGCATCCATCAGGAGATCAGGGGAAAAGGGAGGGCCCCAATTCAAGCCTTGTTCTGGCTGCCGTAGTCCTGGCTGGGCAGGCCCCTGAATCCTGAAAGTCTGGAGGGAAGCTCCCAGAAGCCCTGGGGAAGGAGGTGATTGGGCAGACTGGGAAGGATGGATGATGGGCAGAACTTTTAGGTTGATGGGTGGTGGAACAAGAGGTTTTGTGACCTTTTGACCTGGTCTACCACAGCCCTGTTGCTCACTCACCTGGGAAACAGGTTCAGATTAAGATTCCTCCAGGCCAGATGCTGGGTGTGTCATGATTGGGCCTCCTTCAATCCTGAGAAGGCAGGGCAATTTCCCTCTACCTGTACCCTGCATGCCGGCCTCTGAGCCAGGAGGGCCAGCCTCCCTCATCCTCCAGAAGGCCAAGAGGCAGCCAGACTCCCAGGCCTCAGGTCTAACTCCATCCCTGGAAGGCACAGAAAAACCCAACGGCCACTCCTCGACCCAGGAGCCTCGCCTTGTGCTATAGGGACAGGCTGGAAGAGTTGGCCTTGGCAGAGATGTTCACGTAAGTGGGGTGCTCAAAGGCTGGATTCTTGTGTTTCTGACCCTGCCTGGGCTGGACTGGGGAGGGAAGGTTTCCTTGAGGAGGCAGAGCTTGAGTAGATGGAGAGGAGGACCTTCCCAATGGGAGGATAGAGCCTGAGGCTTGCAGGGGACCATGAGCTGGCTCATGGGCAGGTCTGGGGAGGGGTGGCTGGCTGATCCAGGGTCCCTTCTCTCTCCTCTCCCACTTCACCAGACGACAGCCCATCAACAACGGCCCCAACTCCATGCTTGCCCCCTCCCCCAGCTCCCAATGTAGCTGGTCCTTGTGGGTTTTGAGCTCTTGGGAGGCTGCCACTTAAGGCATGAGCAGGGCTGTTATTTTCAGCAAAGTGATGGGCTCTCATCCTGGGTTTCATTTATTAATTGGACTCTAATGAACCATCACT